ATAGAATAAGCAGTATCTAACTGTTAAACAATTTCACAGACACCTGACTCTAGGATAGTGTGAGGTGAAATTAACACCCCCACCCCCATCCCCCCACCCCAATTTATTTCATTATAAACTTTAAATTTAAAAAATATCGGCTGGCATTTTTTTATTACTCACGAAAATAAAAACTGACTGCATGACTGTACACACCGTATTATGAATTTGATTGACGGGGAAATCATACATTTTGGAGAATTAGGTTTCTTAATTTATTTCATATAATCATGCGTTACGTTGCATCAATTTTGATGTTACTTTTTAAATGGATTTAAGGGAAAAAAAATGAATTATGAACATATACCAGTGAAGTTTGAAATAAAATTTTATTTTCAGAAAATGTTCCGAATTTTCGACTATCTTTTGAATAATGCAATCGAATATTCCAATAAAGAAAATAAACATTTTGACATCCCTAATAAGAAAGCATCTAATCATTTGATCGAAATGATTTTTTTTAAATTTTGATCGCAATCTAATGAACACTCCCAATTTTTTTTTTTTTTTCGTTTGCCAGTGATCTTGTAAATTCACTTCAAATTCCAATTATTTTAGCTGCAATTTCACGAAGATCATTTTTAAAAAAAAAAACATTACATTTTATGAATGCATTTATAAAAATTAACGATTTAATACAACATATTGATTTTAAAATATATTGCTGACCTATGATTTATTTATTTATTTATTTATTTATTTTTTTTTTTTTTTTTTTTTTTTTTTTTTTTTTTTTTTTTTTTGATTTATTACACGACGATCTAGATTACAAAAGGACTCAAATATTATCTTAAGAAGAATTTGTAGTACAAAGGGCATTTAAATGATGCATCGTATATCTGAACACCAACACGTTCCTGACATTAGGTTGCAAGGCTGATTTTTGCTTTACAAATACTCTATGGAAATTACCAGTTAAAAACTTATTTACGAAATAGAATGAATATGTAGGATGAAAGTTCATCTAAAATACAATTTATTTGTAGTATGAAGGGAATTCAATGAACAAAAAATATGTAAGGTGAAGGTAATTTGAACCACAATAAATCGGTATGTTGAAAGAAGTTTGCAATATAAGCACTATTTCATGACAGTAGATACAGTGTAACCTTACGTGCACGTTCTCATAAACAGAGAATAGTTATTACATGGAATCCCTTTTGAAATTAGTATGAGTCCCCTACTGGTGAAAACGAGGAGGAAATAGGTTTACTCTTCGTTTGTCCGTTTGTATGTCGTTGGGTTGTATTTTGGCTGACGTGTTTCATTCCAATTGTTAGGTCTTTGTTTTTATACAAAATATTATGTAAAGTTTCGTCTGCCTGAGAAATACATAGGGCTCACGGCGGGTGTTACCTGCAACAGGGGATGCTTCCTCTTCCTAGACACCTGATCCACTTCTAGAATTTCTTAGGGTCCGAGTTTTATGCCCCGTTAAAAAATTGTATTGTTTATAGATTTTCTTAGATCTATCACTGTTCGTTATCTTCGCCTTTTTCATTGTATGTCTGTCTGATTGTATGTCCATCTAGCTAGCTGTCCCTCTGTCTGTTTGTCTGCCCCACCTAGTTTTCCGCTCTTTGTACTAAACACGTGCAGATAAATATTGAGCTTTTGATTTTTGATGGAATAACATCCTTTTTAATTTTAAAAGGGAACCAGATTACATTTGCCGATAGGGGACTAGTATTACTTATACAATACATTCAGAATGTGTGCTGCATATAAAAATAAAAATGTATTTGGAGTGGAACATGCTTAACTAGTATTTATAAATGAACAGAAAAAAGTACAGTCTTCAAGATTGTGGTAAAAATTGCTATTATGTCATGTATATGTAACAGATTATAGGAATGTGATAATCAATTACTCAACTTTGACACTGCCTTAGGGAATAAGCTACTGCTTATTACTTCTTGAAGTGATATTCCAGGAGCCCATTAAGAAATTTGATTTTTTTTCTTTTATTGTAAAATAACTTGAATTCCATGGGTATTTTTTTTTTTTTTTTTGGGGAAAATTACTTTTTCGAGAGTAATATTTACCAATTATTAGGGAGGATGAAAATGCCAATATTTAGCTCAATTGTCAACCATAATTAAATATGGATTTAAAAGTTTAATTAGAAAGCAATCCTAAGAAACTAACAATTTTTCCTTTAAATCAGTATCAAGTAGGAAATGGAGCATTCCACAAATATCTGCATCATATCTTATAGCATTACTAGAACACCGTTTATGATAATCAGATTTTTTTTTAATTTATTTTTGCATTCTGTGCTTGGGGTAAAATAAAAATTTTAAGTGCAAAACGTAGATAGAAGAGTTATGATGTATGCATATAAATTCAGATAATGTAGAAAACAAAAGCAGTCGTCCATATCCTGTATATACATAATCATTATTAAATGCCTGCCCCGCTAAATTTCCAGAAAATGAAAAGAAGCTTCTTTTTTTCATAATTTTACCGATTGAAAGACAAAAATAATAGGTAGCTGTAATCTTTATGAGAGATACAATGGAATTACTTTCGGTTATGGAATCTTTGCTTAAGAATATATGTCAATTTTGTTTACGTCCTATGTACAATGACTCATGCACTTGTGGTTACCAACAATATACTTTGAATCTTTGACTTACGTTGCGAAATATCCTTTCGACTACTTTTAAGTTTCAAAATAGTTTTTTTTTTTTTTTTTTTTTTTTTATAAAAGAAGTGATGATATTACCAATTTTTATCTTTTAGTTACATACATGTGGATGTAAGCTATCGTTTGTCTAGATAAGTGAACACTTGGTAGAGGAAATATTGTCTGTGTCATCGAACTGAGGAGCCTAGATCCAGCACACTGTTGCTATCGCGACTTGATATAAAAAAATTTAGAGGTGATACATCATTATGAAAAATTCCCTGAAGCAGCAAGAGAGTATACATTAATTTCATCTAGTGCATCAAATTAGGTACCATATATTATTGACACTATCAGAATTTATGACGTGTCGATATAAAAATACAAAACTAAAATTCTATAACCGGACAGCCCCGGGCCGCCAATGCTTGCATTTTTTTTTTCATTTGACGATAAGATAATGATTTTTAAATGTATGAAAATGACTTTTCTCCAATGTCTTGAATTCTCCCTCTTCATTTGGAGACTAAATTTGTCCTGCGCATCTTGTTCGGGTTTCAATGAATTTTGGGAACCCCTCATAATTCATCATAAATGCATTCTGATTTGCAGAAAAAAATAATCATGATCAAATTTATCAGTCTAAAATTTAGAGATGAGCAAGGAATTATGTTGTAGCATCCATGTTTCTATAAATATAAGGTTTACTGAATAAAAATCATAAAAAGTGGCAATAATATTTGGTAATCTTTATTTCATGACAGATTTCTTTATCCATGTTTTTGTTTGAGCAGTTCACTAGATCTATAGTCTCAATGTACATGACACATGAAAATTAAATTTCAAGCATAAATGGTTCATTTTTATTTCTATGGAACACAGTTTGGCACAATTCAAAAAATATTTAAGTGAAAACAGAGCATATAACAACATGTGCAAGTAGTTCACAAATGGAGCACTACAAAATATTAGCTGCCATTTTCTTTTCAGTCTATATCAATAACAGATGTGTGCATACAACATATAGATCAGATATTATAAGTCTGTGTTTCTAGATGGCTCCATCTTAACCGAATAATGAACTGTAGTTCCCTCCATAAACGATGTGTTTTCGATATCTGTATTGGTATTTCATTAATGTTTGTTGCTGAAAAAAAATAAATATAGCATGAGGAATATACAAGTATATCTTTCAATGAGAAAAAGAAAACAATCAGATGCTAATATTGGAAAGTAGTATTTTAAAAAAGAGTAATTTAAAAAAAAATTACGTTTTTGTCATTTTTGAAAGTTACAAATGCAAAAAAAAATATCTGTACATGAATATGCACAAGTCAAAGCTGATTTAAACAAATTTATTTCTAGTTCTTATTTTTCATACATAGTTTACTAATTATTATTTTTACTTATTTACATACTTATTTTTCATGTTTTCCAAAATATATTTTAATAAATTAAAACTACATTACCTTTTATAAAGGAACATTGATTCCTTAAACGATATACAAGACATATGAGAATAAGAACCATAAGGCTTGTAAATCCAATGCAGATTGGGATGCTACAAAAAGAGAATATAGATTCGCTTGATATTTCAAAAAAAGGCTTCATCTATGTTTCGTTTGCATGGTAGATTTTTAATATGACGAATGTCATTTACCAAAGCAGAAAAAAAGATAACCACATTATTTTGGTACTAAAATCTGGTTCTCAGTCCGGGTTAGTTGAAGCCCCTTTCTATTTGAGGGTGTAATGAATTCTCTATTGTCTGATGTAGCCGTGGTTTTCAAAGTAGACGGACTTCTAAAAGTTATTGGTCTGCTTGTTTAACTTGCGTTTAAGACTAAATCGTGGCACTCAAGATCTAGACATTGAGAAGAAATACCAAATATTTTACTTAATACTTAAAATATCATCCATTAATATTGTATATAGATATGGAATTTTAAGATCTAAAATAAAAGAAAAGTGTAAGCGTAAGACCTAGAATTGAAATGTTTGAAATGAAATATATTGAGATAACGAACAGTATTCAAGCTCAAAAGTCCATTTGACTCACTTCGTTTTTTCTTAATACAGTCTATAAAGTGTAAATTTGGTGTTCCACCACAAATTTAATAAAAGTTCAAATTACATCATAGCTCTCGTTAGAGCATTCTGCGTATGCATTGCGCTGTATTCTGGATCCACCAAAATTGTTCTCTTCGCATATATTTTCTGATAAAAGTTATGTTACAATAGAATTAAACATGCATTAAAAATTGAAGTTAGATGCAACCTTTATTGAATATTAATCGACAAAAATCAACTGATATCATAATGCTTTTCTTACCAACGATATTTTAAATTGGTGCACACACTTCTATTGTTTCATTTTTCCATGCATTTATTACACAGTGGTATTTAAATGAGGAACAATAGTGTCTGAGTTTTTGGCAGCCTATCCTGGATGCTGCTACTTCCCATTCCTGTTCTGTTCTTGGACAGGATTCTACAATTTCTGCAGTTTCATCCTTTAGATGCATCAGGTAAATTTGCATGTGTCTAAACAATGGTGGATGAAATGATATTGAATTAATCCCGCTCGCTTATATTAATCAAATATTACGAACTGCAAAAGGAAACGATTACTTTGCTAGTTGTACAAAACAAGTACACTTATCTAGATTTTTTCCACGAGAGGCGGTATTTAATTACATATCCTTTAAATGCTCGTAATCTTACCGGTGATATAGAGTGCAATACAATCCAAATGGTAAGGGATAATTTGCTCTGTAAATCCATTGTTTTCATTGTAAGGAAAAATATCAGTCAAAAAATAAATGATTATTGCAACGATTTTTTATGAATAAGAAAAACAGAGTAAGTGTTGATTACCTTTTGATGAATAAGCATTATATACGAGGATTGTCTGGTAAAATTGTGGGCAAAGCGTTTTTCTCGAAAAATAATGGGTGGACTTAGCTGAAATTTTCAGCAAATATTAAATTATCAAATTTAAGTGAATATTATTTTTTTTTAAATATAGACAAAAATAAAGATTTTATTATGTTTAAATGTGCACGGTCCTACGGTGCACGATAAAAAGAGGTTTGAATCTCGAAAACACAAGTATTCTTTCAAAATTAAGTAATTATAGATAGAGTTGGGGTAAAATTTGTCCTATTTTTAATCCACTATCTATTTTGTGGTCTTTTGTAAAATTTCAAGGCATTTGCTTAATTTTTGGCAATTTCATGAACATTTGAAATGGGAAAGTGGTAAACGCAACACACAAAAAATGGCGATGTTTGATGACATTAGGACGCACCGGAGACCAGTCAAATTAGATTTTGATGTAGTAATAACTCCCTATAAACCTTTAAATGACTACAAAAATATTTTTAAAAAATCACTATATCTTTAGTATACAAGTGAAATTGGAGTTTTCTAAGCAGAAGCTAGTTGATCGCGTCCCCGGATAGAAAGAAACATACGGGCAAACAGCTACTGGCAACAGTGAAAGACGCTGTCGCTGTAGACCGTCGATATAAGATAGCCTATTTAGTTGAAGGATAGTGAGAAGAATTCTAGTCAATTCGGCACCTGGTAAACTCGGCACCTAGTTAATTCGGCATCAAGTAAAGTGAATTCGGCACCTGGTATATTCGGTACCTAGTTAATTCGGCACCTGGTGCACTCGCCATCTAGTTAATTCGGCACCCGGTTTTTCAATTATTAAGAATATAATAAATACTAATAATTTTTGAAGATGTTTTAGATAATTATTTTTATCAAAGGGTTTTCTTTCATTTTCACGGTGTAGTACATAAACGGTTGCTACTGGAACAAAAATGCTTTCAATGTTTCTATTCCAAAAAGGAACGACTGCTACCTGATATGAATATTTTGGTGACACTTTAAACAAATTGTAAAACTGTCAAAAAGTTACCCCAATTCGTTTAAGTCTCTGATTAATCCTTGTGCACGTAAATATACGTAAATATAATAAAAATATACGAAGGAAACGCAAATTATTTTTCTTTATTCAAATGAAAGAACTTTTACCATCTGTACATCAAATCCTTTTCAAAGCATAATGAGTCCTTGGGGATTTTTGTAGCCTACATGTATACTTAGACTTAAATGATATCTAGAAAAGCTAAAGTATATATAACCTTTGACATTAATATTTTTTTTCTCGAAGCGCAGTAGTGCATACGCTCTGGGTAAAGAAAATATAACCAACAGGCAATATTCAAAACATCGGATCTTGAATGGAGATTTGTCCGACACCCCCCCACCCCCCGAAAAAAAAATTGGATTTTCATAGTTATACAGGTAAGATGAGACACGCCCACCTTCCTTGTCTCTGCCACGAAAGAAAGGTTTTTCAGACAGAGAATTCTTAAACTTTTTTGCTTGTCAATTTTCTTAGGTTGAATTGTATATCTCTTTTTATTTTTGAGTGGGCTTGGATCCCCCACCCCTCCCCCTTTTGGGAAAAAAACTGTAGATCTGAACACTAAAACGGCTGCCTAATATTCTATCTAGTAAGTAACATATAAAGTATATATGATACATTTAAAGGAAAGAGCATTACAATTATCAACAGACATATGTAATCTTTTCCGAAATAGAAAAAAAGGGGGGGGGGATTGTGATCAATTCCACTTTCATTCTAATTTCCAACACAAGTAAATTATTTGGACATTAGGAGTGTTTGACCATACTGTACATCAAAAATTGAATTTAAAAAAAATCAATCAAAATTTACAGCAATACACTCTTTTTGGAAATAAAGGGAAGGCCGAGAGAGAGAAGGCCCCCTTTCTACGTGCTCTATGAATATGTTTGGAGCAGGATCGTTTTAAAGAAACATTTTACCCTATTATGAGCAAGTTTAAACTAGCAATGCGCATGTTGTTGGTTTAATTATCAATGCCGTATATACGGCAAAACCTTACCCCTTTCTCCCTTACTACTAGTATTTCAATTTAAATCTTTTTATCTAGATTTTTTAGTGCTATTTTGAATTGTTCGTGAAAATTTGTATTCCATAATTGAAAAAAAGTAAAATCTTTAACGTCAATAGAATTTAATTCAATATAAAGGAAAAAAAAGTTAAATCGTTCAAATGAGGATCTAATTACAGCATATATATACACATAGCTCCAAGTAAACTCCCGTTTTCGTGATCTTCTCCGAGCGTTTTTGTTTCAGTTCTAAAAGCTGTACATGGTTTAAACATTCTTAGTATATACCGAAAATATGTTTTTGTCTTAAATAATGTTATGTTTGTATGAGATGGTTTAAACGTACAAAATAAATTTGAGTACATGTTACGGAAATGACTGTTACGGAGATGAAAAAGTTACCATTGATTTTTATTTATTTATTGTTTTTAAATGATTTCTTTGTACAGCATCATGCTCTATATTTTTACTTAATAGGTCTATATGAAAAGAAATTGATATAACGACTCCAGTACAATAAAAATCCCTTTTAAAGCAGCAGGGTTATTTGGAATCTACAGGAGGTCGTGTAATTTAGGTTGTAAATATGATGCAACACACGTGTTAAATGACCATAGATATTTTATTACTGAATGTTGAAAATTGTAATAAGATAAAACTCTTTTGCGCCAACTACTGGCTGCAGTGGTAATTAAAAAAATAAGTACATTTTAAGTTTATGAAGTAAGATATACTATGATTTTTGGTATGGTACGAATTTGGTATTTAGTTTCGGTACAGTTCTACATTTTTCAACAATATAAAGTTTTTAATTCTCGTCTTAGGATTTATTTTTAATGTTTATTGAAGTTGTCCCAAAGTTGGAAAGATTTTTTAATGCAAATACATTCCCAAATTATAGTTATTTTTTTCGAGTGAGACAATTTTGTTGGTATGGTGTCTGTAAATAAAATGTGAATTATGGGCTGTGATTATATATTTCAAAAAGGACATTTAAGAAATAAACAACAATGTTAAAAAGATCTCTGGGAAATGAACTTGGTTGGTCACGTGATCAAATCCTGTGAAGCCCGAACTTTTCTCCAGATAGCTATGCTACCTCACTTCATTTAATGCTTCAATACCAATTAATTAATGTTTTTTTTTTTTTTTTTTTTTTTATTTTTGTGCAAAAGCAAGCCATCTTTGTAACAAATGAGCGATTGCCAGGCTTTAATATGAGTGCCTTTTTGCAATTTGTTAGTTGCAAATTAATTTGATACCGAAAGCATCGCGAATATTCGAGTTTTGTGTAAAGTCTGCGCCACGGTAAAATTTCTAATGATGGGGAATCCTGATATGAGAGCAAAGGCAATTGTGAACATGAATGTATTTGATCCTGAAATACTTGTATTTAAAGTCTTATTGTCGAACTTAAGTTAACAATGCGTTCGATGTTTATTAGACTCGTAGTAACTCAATATTCCTTAAATCTATACCTCTGATGGTTTTTTTAATCATAAAATCATGACTGGAACTGCGCCTTACAAATTTCATGAAGATTAGATTTCTAGTGTATCATCCTGGAAACCGAGTTTGTCTTATTTGGCCGTCTGTTGCATGGAAAAGCTTTCGGTAACGTATTGAAATAATGTTTTTTCTTTAACTAGGAATCAAACGTAAGCGTGAGGAATTACAATTTTACCATTATTGACAGAACAATTGCAGTGATAGATATAATATTTTCTACTGACAGATAAAACAAAACTTATAACAGATTTAGTTATATTTATTTGAACAATACCATATTCTTTTATTGACATTTTCTCTTAACACATAAGCAAGTTTATTAATATATATATAAATTGTACTCTGGGTTTATTGCCATGATGCTCTCTGGAGAATATGCACATTTTACTGATAAATTTATTAGCAAAACCTACTAATAGTCTTAGTTATAGATAATAATATTCACAAATTAAAGTGTTATCAATATCATTACCATTATTTCCATGCCTGTTCACATCAAAGCTTTTTAATGATATTTATGTAGTGATATTCGCCTCGTTTTTCTCCGTTGCATCGGGCTCGATGCCTCGTGATTCTAGACATTTCTCTCAAGAATAAGATGGGTTAATGACAAAGGACGATTTGCATATTCTTTTTCATCAGTTCTTTTAGATCACTTAAATCAAGTTTTGATCGTATGAATCATCAATGACGTTTTATGGAATAATTAAACGATTGCTTCTTGTCAGTGTCATTCTCCTATTTCAGGGCTTTTATCGAGAATGAATGTCGACTCTCAATTATATTTACGATAATAACTATGCTAGTGAAATCTAAATATAGTAAAATGACATCACCTCATGCCTAGTGAATTCTAAGAGGAGTAAATATGAACCCTGATGCAGGCGTTTCGGAGTTAACTTGAAAAAATTATTGATTTTTAAGTATAGATTGAATGGTCATTTTTCAAGTGCTTCTTGTCTCACGATACGTATAGACTTGTAGAC